AGGTACAGATTTCTCAGAAGTACAATTAAGTGTTCTGGAATACTCATACTTCTCAATGTTGTCCATAGTTTGTCATGATCCACACAATCGAAAGCCTTCGCGTAGTCAATAAAGCATAGGTAAACATCCTTCTGGCATTCACTGCTTTCAGCCAAGATCCATCGAACATCCGCAACGATATCTCTCGTTCCACGGCCTCTTCTGAATCCAGCTTGAACTACCTTATGATCCAGCAATTCCTGTACTTGGTATTTACCCACAGGAAATATGAACCATAACATGAGAAGATATATGCACACCAATGTTCATTAGCAGCACTATTTACAATAGCAAAAAGATGGAGACAACCTATGTACCCATCAAGAGAAGAATGGATAAACAAACTATGGTACATACACACAATGGAATATTATGCTACCTTGAAGAACAACAAGGAAGCTCTAAGCTACCACATGACATGGATGAACATTGAGGACATTAAGTTGAGAGAAATTAGTCAGTCACAAAAGGAGAAATACTGCATAGGACCACCACTGTAAAAGACTAAGAAAAAGAACCCATACTAAAGGTGGGGGGATTCTTTGCTGATTACCAGGATGTAGGTGGTGAGGTAAGGGGAGCGAGGGGAAGGTGGAGCACAGGGTACGGAATAGACACAGGATAGTTTGGGTGGTGGGGAGGGGGACAATACACCAGAAGGGGGAGGGGAATGGAAGAACAAGGCAGGATTGCATGGGCTAAGTGGGACAAAGGTAAATAAAGATGTATGCATAACCTTGGAACAACAGGGCTCTGGGATACAGGGATTGAGACATGGTTAGAATGGGCAAAAGGGGGGAAATAATGTTAAGATGCTTGGCTGTCTTTCGAATCTTGGTTTTCCTGGCATACTATTATAAAATGGACACTTGAGGAGGGAAGAAAGGAATAGCCAGAAATAGCAGCATAGAAAGCTTGTAAGTCCGTCTTCTGCCTATAACTGATTGGAATACCTAAGATGGGGCTACAAAGTGCCCAGTGCAGGAGGCTTCCTGTGGAGCCTCTGCATTACATAAGACTATAGGTGGAAGCCTGAACCACATCCAGATCTTCAGAGATGGTAAATTTCCATTTGAAAGGATGAGCAGACAAGCCTGGAGCAGCTAGAAGAACAGAAGATACTTCTTGAAAGAAAGACTGACAGGAAAAATATAAAACAACATAGGCAGACTGACTGTTACTGCAAGAACAAGCAAGTTGCTCATCCTAGAGACATCAAGGCAAGTGGTCGGGTTCCCTCAGGACAAACCCCCTTCCAAGACTGAGATTCAATAGGAATACATGAGCAGACACGTGCTCTGACTGGTGACCATGTCGGTTACCGATAAATGGAAATAAGGGAAAAACAGCAATGAAGCTGCGAGCTAAGCCCTACAACGTTCAATAGACTCCTGTGAACCTGGGTGGAGACCTGGTTGGCCAGCAGTTTGGCAAGACCTGGGGACTCCTGGGCCCAGAGTCAGTGACATAGTCACAGAGGACTAGAGTGGAGAATGAAGTGTCTAGCTGCTAAGAAAAGAGGGCACATGTGTACAAATATCCACACTTGCAGATAATATCCACTTGACCTGGCTTCAATGGCTGGATGATCAGAGCTCAACTAGAAGAATAAAGAAGAGGAAAATAGAGTAATCTGATATAATTTGATGAACTTGACCTACACCTATAGATGCAGTAGCTCAAAAGAGGGAACAAATCTTTATGAGAATCATTCCCACCCCCTCCACACACAGAGTAGACAAGGATGGGCAACTTGGACATTGTCTACCCAAAATGGGGAGGGGGGAGGGGAGCTACAAAGGCAAGAAGTGACTGGCTTACCAGCTTTCAAGAGGGAGTCTGGATCCAGTGGGTGCAAAGGAAGGTAGAATCTCCACTGAGTAGTATCCAATCTGTCTAGACGGGGCTGATGAAAGGAGATGTGGATAGGTCTTTTATGATACAATAGTAAATAATTGTTATCAGGACTGATTGTGAGGGTTGGAAATGTAAAGGTAGACATTTTGTAGCAAAAGGAGGGGAGTGATTGACTGTGCAGTCCGGGAGTGGAGGGCCCTGGGACCATCAAGAGAGAAGAAGGGAGTGCAGGAGCTTGCCCAGAGAAACAGTGATGCCAGAGATGAAGGCAGAGATGATGTTGTGGAGAGAAGGAGCGGCTGGGAACTCTAGACCCAGAGAGGGAGAGGGGCTGTGTGCTGACAAGCAGGGGGCAAGCTTGTAGGATGTACCATTTGGTTGGTTGATGATGCTTGGAGGGGATTGTAAACATGGCAGTGTAACGATATATGATAGGATGACTGTAAAGCTTTTGTTCTCCCATGTAAACTATCACATAATTCACAATAAAACATTAAAAAAAAAAGATAATCCCATTTTCCCACAATCTTTTTGGGACTTTTTTGTGTACATTTTTGTAACTGTTAAGTGCTGTCAAGTGGGTTCAGACTCACAGTGACCCTGTATAGGGTTTCCAAGACTTCTAATCTTTGCGGGAGGAGAAAGCCTCATCTTTCTCCCTTAGAGCAGCTGGTGAACTCAAACCACCAACCTTGTGGTTCGCAGTCCATTGCTTATTGTATGGAGATATTGTGCTTCCCCTCTTATGTATATAGACATAAGATTTGTTTTATTTGTTGTTAAGAATCTACATAGCAATACAAACACCAGAAAACTATTTCTACACATACCATTCATTGACATTGATGATAGTCTTTGAGTTGCATAATCACTCTAACTCTCCTTTTTTTGAGTTGTTCATCCCCATTAACATAAACTCACTGCCCCCTACAGTCTTATGTCATCTTTTAAGTTGATTGTTGTCACTAGCCCATATTATTGTTAGTTGCCATCAAGTCAGTTCTGACTCACAGCGATCCTGTATAGAATTTTCAAGGAGTGACAGGTGGATTTGAACTACTGACCTTGTGGTTGGCAGTCTAATACTTATCCTACAGCACCAGGATCCTTGATCCCATAAAGACGGATCTTAAAATAGCATAATTCTAAAGGCAAATTTTTTTACTAATTAAACTAAACTATTAGATTTTTTTCCCCTTTTTTTAAGTTTTTATTGTGAATTGAGTTAAAGTTCACAGGGTAGATCATCAGTTTTACTTTCAACAAATCATATGCTTTGTTTCATTACAATGGTTATAATCTATGTACAATCAGTTAACAGTATTTCTCTCTATTCATTTTAGCTTAAAAAAAACAACAAAAAAAAACACTAAGGCATATATAATACTTTAAACCACCAAACGGCACATTCTGCAAGTCTGCCTCCTGGCTGCCAGCCCTCAGTCCCTCTCTTCCCATGAATCTAGAGTTCTCCACTGCTCCCTCTTTCCATGTCCCCATCTCTGCCTCCATCTCTGGTGTCCCTACTTCTCTGCATAAATTCCCACATTCCATTTGTGCTCTTCTCCCTTGATGTTCCTAGGGGCCTCTGTTTCTGTAATGTAAAATTAACTACTCCCCGTTTTTGTTACAAAATTTCTACCTATACAATTGTGACAGTCACAATTAGTTATGATAATAATTACTCACTATTGAATCATAAGAATCTTATCCCCATCTCTTTTTACCAGACCCATCTAGACAAGATGAAAACTATTCAGTGGGGACTCTATCTGCCCCCACAAACTCTTAAACTAAACTCCCTCTTGAAACCTTGTAAGCTAATCCTTTGAGCCTCATTTTAGGTAGCTAATGTCTAAGTTACTCATTCCTATCTACCCTGTATACAGAGGGCATGACATTGATATTCGATGTGAAGACTCCTTCCCTCTCTGTTGGTATTTTGAGCTACTACCATGACAAGCTATGGACAACATTGCGAAGTATGAGTATTCTGGAACATTTAATTGTGCTCATGAGGAATCTGTACATGGACCAAGAGGCAGTTGTTTGAACAGAACATGGGAGCACCGAATGGTTTAAAATTAAGAAAGTTGTGCGGCAGGGTTGTATTCTTTCACCATACTTATTCAACTTGTATGCTGAACAAATAATCTGAGAAGCTGGGTTACATGAAGAAAAATGTGGCATCAGGATTGGAGGAAGACTCATTAACAACCTGCGATACGCAGATGTGATACAACCTTGCTTGCTGAAAGTGAAGAAGACTTAAAATATTTACTGATGAAGATCAAAGACAGATGCTTCACTCTCAGTTCTATCCTTCCGTGGTTATATCTGTGTCCATGGGCTCAGGTGTCCTCAGGTCTCACCACACTTTGGACCAACCAGCCCTTCCTCTTCTCTCTCTCATCTCCAGGTCAGTGGGGGAAACCATTGATTTTAAAAAGATTTCAGGGGATATTTTTGGTTTAAGGTTTAAAGATTATCTTAGGACAATGGTTTTGGAAGTTATCCAACCTCTATGAATCTAGAAATCTGGATTCCATGAGAATTTGAAATTTTGTTCTTCATATCCGTCTTTTGATCAGAATTCTTCTATGGAATTTTGGATTAAAATGTTCAGTAATTATAGCCAGGGAGGTTGTTGTTGTTGTTAAGTTCCATTGAGTTGGTTCCGACCCATAGCGACCCTGTATAGGGTTTCCAAGGAGCAACTGGTGAGTTTGAACTGCCAAACTTGCAGTTCAAACAACTTTACAATCTGGCACATTAACCCACAGCACCAAGCCAGGGAGATTATGATATCTTAAATTCTGTATTCTGAACATGGGAATCAGCTATACCTCATGTGCCTTTGTTTCCTTTTCTTCCCATCTTCCTGCACCTACCTTGTGAACCTCTATAGAAGGATATCCTCTCCTTGCACCATGTCAGGGTAAGGTCTGCTATTTAAAGGCACTTTGTTTGTAGAGAGAACATCATTCTCATGGGGATCCAATCCTCACTTTTATAAGCAAATGCCCTTCTAAAAGGTCTGTGTCTTATGGGTCACTAAGAGTCTAACTTGATTGAATTGCAAAATGAAAAATTGGAGCAGGGGGCCACAAGGGTATACTGTAGCCCCAAAATAATGATGTTGTGATATTTGGGCATGAAATCAGGAGTTAGAGAAATCTGCGTGCAGGCTCCAACTTTATCAGTGGCATCACACTGGGCAAGTTACTTTACTTCTTCAAGTTTTGGTTGCCTCATCTGAAACTAGGAATAACTACACTACCCCTTTCAAGGAATTATTATGAAGATTAAATAAGACCATAAATACAAAATGAACAGTATTTTGAGTCATTACCATGATTATTATTATTGTTGATGATATTGCTGTTGTTATTATTTTTAGCCATGAGCCAAAGTCATTGAGAATTGTGGGGATTAAACAGATTTTTTTCGTTGTTAAGATTAGTAAAATTATAAAACATAACTGTATCAAACTATATGCTGGGTACAAGTGAATATATCATTTTTTAAATCCTTCTGAAGGAAATGATGTGGAGAAAGCTTGGGGTCTAGAATACTCATGCTCTGATTCATTTTGGTACAAGGGAACTGATAACTCAATAAATGTAATCTAAAGGAAGAGTATGAGTCGGAACTGACTCCACAGCACTTAACAACAACAACAACAAAGGAAGAGTATAACCTAGGAAGTCAGGCCATCTGTAATCTATGTCAAGATTATATTTATCAAACAATACTTGTTGTATGAGTAGGTTCTACGATTGTTGAACAGTACACATAAATTTAAATTATGAATTAAATCATTGGTTAGCTGAACTCAGAAAGGGTGGATTAAACCAGCAGGGTATTGGGTTTAGAAAACTCATCAGCTCATTTTACCCAACTTTAATATCTTTCTTCATCTTCCCATATTATAATGAATGCATCTGCAGGACAAGAGCATTAATAGCTAAAGAAGACAGCCAACCCTGCTGGTTGTTGTTGTTGTTAAGTGCCATCGAGTCGGGTAGGCACTAAGTATTTACTTAAAGCTCAAGTTTTTGTCCACCCCCCCCACCCCAAGATATAATTTCTCAGCTGTTAAAATTTCTGAGATAAAAGTTTCTTTAAAACAATTTTTTCCTTTATAACATTGCCTAGAATTCTGCTAAGCCTTGTAAACTACCCTGAGTCCTAGTCCTATCCTTTTTATTTTAGAAATAAGCTTTGTTTCTCCTCCAGATCGCTACTTAGTATGAGATACCCATCTCCAAATCCAGCTTATAAAAGTCTGTATTTACTTCAAGTTATATTAGGTAATTCTGAATTCTTGTATCAGCATCAGAACCACAAACCATGCTGAGGTTATGGAAAGAAAGAAAGAGAGAGAGAAAGAGAGAAAGAAAGAAAGAAAACCTAGAAGTCTAGGTAAGGGGGGAGGCAGGCCAGATGTTTTTTGTTTTTTTTTATAATTGCAATGGAAGGAAGAATTTTGAGCTTTCACAAAAGGTTCTGGGATCTTTCATCTACCAATAAATGTCATCTTCTATTATTTGTTTTGTTTTTCTCTCCCTTGCTCCAAGGCAGGACAGAAGTTTGTTCCGTACCTTCTCATAAACAGGAAAGAATCTTGTAGTGGCTCTTTCAAGAATGTATGCAAGGTTCATTTCTTTCTCTTCAGGCAGAGAGAGTGGGAAGTACATAATCATATCACTTAGGTCCTTCAAGCCTTCCACGTACATGTCAATCCTAGAGAGAGGAGGATACGTCAAAAGAGTTTTCAGAGAAAGGGGACTATTATTTCATGGGTCAAAGGAACATTTTAACTAGTGCCTCAGTTTATCTGCCTAATTATCAGGGATATCAATGTTCCATGAGACATGTTTTTCTACATGATGTTGTTTCTTTGGATATTTGCAAAGGTCTGTCTTTGAGATGGGAAAATTATAGGTCTGACGTGCCTTAGCGATGATGTATGAATATTAATGATGTAAGGCTAATGTTGGAGTCCTAGAAAACAGCTAATGCTGTTGGCTGCTAACAAAAAGGTTGAAAGTTTGTGTCAACCCACCGACATCTTGGAAGAAAGGTGCTCTACTTCCAAACAATCAGGCTTTGAAATCCCTATTGAGCACAGTTCTGCTGTGACACAAATGGGGTCATCATGAGTTAGGGTAAACTCCATTGCAATTGGTTTTTTACTGGTAAGATTCATGTTAATTAAAATATATACTCACAGACAATGTATTATCATAACCCTGAAATAGTGGAATAGTTTATGCTGATACATATAGGGATGTTGTTGTTAAGTGCCATCGAATTAGTCCTGATTCATAGCGACTCTGTATAGCATTTCCGAGGAGTGGCTGGCAAGTTTGAACTACCAACCTTGCGGTTCAAACCGACCTTGTGGTCAAGCACCTACAGTGCCACACCAGGACTCCATACATATAACGGATGGTGGTGGTGTTTATGTGCCATGGAGTCAGTTCTGACTCATAGCAACTCTGCATAGGGTTTCCAAGGTTTTAAATCTTTACAGGAGCAGAAAGCCTCATCTTTCTCTCATGGAATGACTGATACTTTCAAAATGCTGACCTTGAGGTTAGCAGCCCAACTTGTAACCACTACGCTACTAGAGCTCCTTACATGTAGGCATAGAAGTAACCAATGGTCCCTAAGCTGCCAACAATCTCTCCATCTGATTCTGGGTTTTTAAAAATTTAGTCAGTAGGTCGATTCAGTAAAGCAGAACACTTACTGCTAAGTTCCCACTTGGTGGTGGAGGTAGTTGTGTGTCTTTGAGTCAGTTCCGATTCACTGTGACTCTGATTAGGATTTACTATGTTGTAAATCTTTTCTGCAGCAGAGTGTCTCATCTTTCTCCTGCAGAGTGGCTGGTAGATTCAAACTGCTGACCTTGCCCAACTCATAGTCCACTGTGTTATCAGGGCTGCTTAAGTACCCACTTGCCACCACTCAAATCTCAATACTAGAATGAATGGAAAGATGGATACTATGTTTGGCAAAGCATAATGAGAAGAGCACTGGGAAATTTCAGGTCTGGTCCAATATAAAGTATCTTAATCTCTTTGAACCATACTCATTGTTATCCTAGGTAAAAGTTAAAGATTTACAGCTGATGGTTTACAAAGTCCTCAATTTTTTGTTGCTACTCTCATTGAGAATGGTGTGCAATTAAGAAAGGTGTGCAACAGGGTTATTCTTTCACCATACTTATTCAACTGGTATACTGAGCAAATAATACAAGCAGCTGGGTAATATGAAGAAACACGTGGCATCAGGATTGGAGGAAGACTCATTAACAACCTGTGATATGCAGATGATACAACCTTACTTGCTGAAAGTGAAGAGGACTTAAAACATTTACTGATGAAGATCAAAGAGCACAGCCTTTGATATGGATTACATCTCAATGTAAAGAAAACAAAAATCCTTACCACTGGACCAATAAGCAACATATTTATCAACAGAGAAAAGTTTGAAGTTGTCAAGGACTGCATTCTTCTTGGATCAACTATCAACACTCATGGAAGCAGCAGTCCAGAAATGAAACAATGTATTGCATTAGGTAAATCTGCTTCACAAGACCTTTTTAAAGTGTTGAAGAGCAAAGACGTCAACTTGAGGACTAAGGTGTGCCTGACCCAAGCCATGATAGTTTCAGTAACCTCATATGCATGTGAAAGCTGAACAGTGAATAAGGAAGTTCATAGAATAATTGATGCCTTTGAGTTATGGTGTTGGAGGAGAATATTGAAAGCACCATGGGCTGCCAAAAGAATCAATAAATCCATTTTGGAAGAAGTGCAGCCAGAGTGCTCCTTGGAGGTTAGGATGGCCAAACTTTGTCTCTCATACTTTGGACATATTTTCAGGAGGGACCAGTTGCTGGAGAAGGATCTCATGTTTGCTAAGGTGGCGGGTCAGAGAAAAAGAGGAAGATCCCCAATGAGATGGATTGGCCAGGTGGCAGCATTGATGAACTCAAGCGTGGCAACAGTAGTGAGGTTGGCCCAGAATTGGGCAGTGTTTCGTTCTGCTGTGCATAAGGTTGCTATGAGTCAGTACTAACTTGATGGCACCTAACAACAACAAGAATAGCAACAGAGGATAGAGAAACATGTTGAACTACACTGCAGGATGCAGTTAGCAGAATTTGGCAGTTAGAAACTACTAGAATGCCAGAGAAACTGATGGTGAGTTTTTAAAATACAAGAGCAATTTTAAAATTTTTACTGCATTAAAGAAACTGAATTTCTAAAAACAAATACATTTTGAAACACACACATCACTTAGTAAACATGGGATATTTGGTTTTTATCAATCAATAATTTTCTATTTCTTTGCCATAATTTATAATTAGGGTTGCTGTCTTACACTTCAAGTAAAACAAGTCCACTTTGCCAATTTAGAGACCTGTGATTGCCTATTGCTAAAGGACTGGCATGTGCAGGTAAGAATGAACTAAAGTTGGGAGGCTGGGTTAGGTACTTGGGGTGATGATAGACAATGAGGTGGTTTCCAACAGAATCAGTTTCACAGTAACCTGCTAACGTTGAGTAGGTTTTGATTCACAGTGACCCTATAGGACAGAGTAGAACTACCCCATAAGGTTTCTGAGGCTGTAAATCTTTAGGGAGGTAGAGTGCCACATAGTTCTCCAGTGGAGTACCTGGAAGGTTTGAACTGACAGCCTTTCAGCTAACAGCCCAGCACTTAACCATTGCACCACTATGGCTCCCCAAGACCCCCAGAGAGTTTTGAGACTGTGTTTTTATGCTATTTTCAACTAGTGGGAGCAGACACAAAGAGAAAGCAGCAGATTTCCTTACAAAAGTACTCATGAGAAGTAGCTACTTAACATTAAATACAGAATTAGAAAATTAATGAAACTCTGTAATTGGCCAGGTAGTGACAATTGTTAAAGGTAAATGTGTGTGCATAGGGCTTGCTTATCTACCAAGAACTACAACACACTACATATGATTGCTAATAAACCTAAAGGCTAGCTTAAAAACAAAAAACAACAACAACAAAAAACACACAAAGATTTGTTTTAGCAAAAGTGATGATTGTACCAGGCTTGTTCCTTCAGGTTCCTTCCATATAAGTCATATTTTGCAGCTATGTATCTTAGGATGGCTCTGGTTTCTACCAAATTCATACCATCGATTTCAACCATGGGCACTTGTTCATACATCAGAGTTCCACCTTAAAACACACAAAGAAAAGTTGGATTCTTTACTCTTCCTGAGAGTAGTAGCAACTGTGTTTTCTTTAACTCTAAAGGTACTATAAAATTATGTTGTCAGCTAATACTTATCAAAATATTCTGAATGACTTATCTAAAAGGATAAACTGATTTATTCATTCATGCAAAAGTTGTCTTAAATGCAAGGTATGATGTTGCAATTTTAAAAAGCTAGCTTTCTGGTCAAGGATGTCCCTTTTTCATTATTTACTCTCAATTCTATGGCCACTTTATTAATTTATATATATAAGCACACACACACACATACATGTATCATTTAACTTTTTTTTATTGTGAATTGGATGAAGGTTCACAGAGCAGATCAGTTTTCCATTCAACAATTCATACACATTTTGCTTCATGCCATTGATTGAAATCTCCACAATGTATCATCACTTATACCACTTCCTCCCTGTATTTCTTGTTTCCATTCCTCTTTCCTAACCCTTTTGAACTTCACTCTTGGGTAAATGCTGCTTTTCTGGTCTCAATTGGTTGATTATTCTGAGATGTGCCCACCTCACTAGTGTTATTGTTCTCCTTGTAGCACTGCCTGTTGTATGGGGATGAGTTCAGTTCCAGACCTGAAGGGTGACTAAGGGCCATAATCTTGGGGATTCCATCAGTTTTTATTCAACTGATAAGCCTTTATTTTTTAAATGATTTTGAGTGTTTGTCCCCATTTTTCTCCCACTCTGTTCAGAATCTATTTAGATTCTATTTACTTCAGAATTATCACAACACTGTTCTAATTGTAAACTCAATCATGCCCCAGATTAAGCAACAAACCAGTAGCTGTTAAATTAATTCTACTTTATGGTGACCACATGTGCCAGAGAAGAGCTGTGCTTTTTCCATGGCTGATGGATCATAAGTAGAATGCGAGGCCTTTCTTTCAGAATACCTCTAGATGGATTCAACCACCAGCCTTTCATTTAGTAAGTGAGTCCCTATTGGCACCACCCAAAGATTCCTCTCCAGATGGGTCTTTCTTATTCACCCTATATGTCTTCCCTGGTTTGTTTTCCTGGGGCCATAAATTTCATGAGAGGATAAACATTAATCTCGTTAGCCTGAATTCAAAGAGCACCTTAAAATTTGCCTCCAGGTACCTTCCACACATCACTCTTACCACTCACCTGTATGAAGCTTCTCCCCATCTGAAGCCCAGTGCTCTCCCATCTGAATGTAAACTCTGTCTTAGGCTGAATTTTTCAAACTTCTGAGGAATCTTTGCATTAGAACAATGGTTTAATTCAACACAATAAATAGGCTCTCTTTTTCCCTTCTGTCTGCCCGTCTGTCTGCTTTTGCAGGACAATAGTAAGGTTGACCTTGTACTTTTCCCATTCAACATCTTAAATTAAGCTAATTCACCTATCCATGTATCCCATTTCTTTGGATCAACTCGGTGCAAAGGTTTCCTGGTTTTTATGGCTCTTGCCACCAGGTCTAAGTATCAAGACATTCTCTGCATCCTAATGATATCAACCAAGTTCCTGCTGGGAGACAAACACACCAATTACACTAACTCAGAGAATTTAATATAAAACATAGTTAACCAAATCCTGGAGAACCAAAAGGAACACTTCTTTATCATGAAGGTGGCAATTTCAGAAAATAGATATTGTCCTTAGTACTGGGGGAACAAAGAGAAGTTGGAATTATTATACCTTTAGATACTTGGAAGAAGAGCTATTCTTTGCTGGACCTCTAATATGCTTATTGCAAGATCCAACATGCACTATTTTCCTGATATGTTAAGTGTTGTCGAGTCAGTTCTGACTCACAATGACTTTGTATAGGGTTCTCAAGGAGCAGCTGGTAGGAGAGGCTGGTGGGTTTAAAACACTGACCTTGTGGTTTACAGTCCAGTGCTTATCCTACAGCATCACACCAGGACTCCTGAGAGAAATATTGATGTTGATACATTTGAGTTATGGTGTTGGAGAAGAATAATTAAAATACCATGGACTGCCAGAAGAACAAACAAATCTGTGTTGGAAGAAGAACAGCCAGAATGTTCCTTGGAAGCCAGTTTAGCAAGACTTTGTCTCTCATACGTAGGACATGTTACCAAGAGGGACCAGTCCCTGAAGAAGAACTTGGTATCATGCTTGGTAAAGTGGAGGGTCAGCAAAAAGAGGACAACCCCAGCAAGACAGATTGGCATAGTGGCAGCAGGAGTGGGCTCGAGTGTAACAACAATTGTGAGGTTGATGCAGGACCAGGCAGTGTTTCGTTCTGTTGTTCATGGGGTCGCTGAGTCGGAGCTGACTCGATGACTCCTAACAACAACAGCATATAACATTTATTACTCTAATTTAAAATAGCTGAAGATGTGTGAGTGTGTGTATGTGTGTGTAATGGAGAGACTATCTCATTAACTAGTCCTAGTGTAGCTCCTAATGAAGTCCTAGTGTGTGATACTGTGGGCTAGTGTGCTGGACTACAAAGCCTGTTTGAAATGCAAGGTCAGAGGTTCAAGCTCACCAGTCACTCCTTGGAAACCCTATACAGGGGCGCTATGAAACAGAACAGATTTGATGGCACTTAACAACAACAACAATAATGCAACATCAGTGAGTCCTGGTGTGGGGCTATGGGTTAATGCACAGGACTGCAAAGTCAGTTTGAACTGCAAGGTCAGCGGTTCAAGCACTTTAGCCGCTCCTCGGAAACCCTATACAGGGTCTCTCTGGATCAGAACTTAACAACAACAACAATAATGCAACATCAGTGAGTCCTGGTGTGGGGCTATGGGTTAATGCACAGGACTGCAAAGTCAGTTTGAACTGCAAGGTCAGCGGTTCAAGCACTTTAGCCGCTCCTCGGAAACCCTATACAGGGTCTCTCTGGATCAGAACTGACTTTATGACACTTAACAACAACAACAAAGTAACATCAAGAGTAGCACAGTTTTTTTCTCACCTTGTATTAATTTCTCAAATTCTTCACGTGTTTCAAAAAGCTCTTCTTCAAACTAAAGAAAGAACAAATATAAGAATATACACTATGATCATTTTTATTGCCAATAAAAATAAAAGGCATAATCATGAATTAAATCAAATTTTCAAATAGCTGTTAAACACAGTAGTGTAGTGGTGTAGTGGGTTATGCATTGGGCTGCTAGCTGTAAGTTCAGCAGTTCGAAACCACCAGCTGCTCCATGGGAGAAAAATGAAATTTTCTGCTCCTGTAAAGATTTACAGCCTTAGAAACTCTATACAACATCACTGTGAGTCAGAGCAGACTGTATGGCACACACAACAAAAAACAGTGAGTTCATGCTGTCTGTTTCTGAGTCCTATGATACCAAGGAAGTCTTTATATAAGACCAAAACAGAGTTTACTGAATTTAGTTGATTCAGTGTTATCTAGATCTACTTTTTTTTAAAAAAAATGTTTTATTGTGAATTATGTGATAGGTTACATGGGAGAACATTAGTTTTACATTCATCCTATCGTATATATCGTTTCATTGCCATGGTTACAATCCCCTCCATGCGTCACCAACCAACCAAGGTATACCCTGCAAGCCTGCCTTCCCCCTCTCCCCC